CCGAAAAACCGAGCCCAAATCCAAATCCAAATCCGATCCATACATACATACATACGTACGTACGAGCGAGCCGAGCCGGCCGGCCGGCCGGTCGGTCGGACGGACGGCGGCGCGCGTGTGTGGGCACGATTTGAAACATATAACATATAGGCCTTTCTCCCAAACAAAGTTGAATGCCCAAAGGGCGTGACCCTTTGTCCCCATATTTTGATATAAATACAGCTCAGTACTTCTCTACTTTTCCAATGTGGGATAACTTAAAATCCCACTTTCCTTATATTTTTGGACTAGTAATTTTTCATTCACCACAAAATTGGTTCTAATCCAAAATTCATTTATGTATTAGACCGTACACTAATATTGATAAAAATTGTTCATGACTCAATTTTTAACCAATTTTCCCAACAATTTTCAATTGCATGTCACTTCAGGAATTGTATGTTCTTGTGCCACATGTGTCATTTTAAATAATTTTTTGAATAATTCGTTACTATTTTTTTTATTTATAAAAATAGCGTAAATTGTATGAATCGAAATATTAATTCTCACAAGTAGAGAGCATATTATGATGTCCATTTGAGTCAGTTCTTTCTATTTATATTGGCTCGATTTTTACTATTCATTTACATATACCAATATGGGTGTGTAGACATTTTTTTTCATTTTTTGGTCGATCCGAGAAAATAGTAATTAAAGATGTACCGATGTATTTGAGCAATGGTAATTAAAGAAAAAAATAATTTGTGGCAAGGAATGAAAGAAGGTGATTCCCGTGGCCAGTGACATGTGGGTAGACAGACACAAAAATATTCCAACTCTAGTGATGTTTGATTGGATTTTATATATTATTATATACAGAGAGAGAATTATTGATGTTTAAAATCGTGGTTCAAATAATGTGTTGTTGAATTTTGATTGAAAACACGATTTATTCGTCCGCGTTTCGTCCGCGTTTCGTGTTACTTAATAATTTATTCAATTATTATTCTTAACCCTAGACAAATTCATGAACGAACCAACAACAGTATATAGCATGCTTGTGTGACGTGTCCAAGTCCAATAATAATAATAATTAATAATAATGATATGTTGTGACTTGTGAATGTGATGAATCAGATTATTTAGCTCACATTTCAATTTTCAACTCCATTATTAGAGTTTTATATTAACCTTAAATAATCAAAACGGGTACATTTTATTCTTCTAATTATAGAGTTAAAAACGTATATACCAGCAAAATAAATTAAAAATATAAGGCGTCAATAATCCCCGCGTAGAAGCCGTATACATTTGAGTTAATTGCATATTACCCTTGTGTAATCTTGAATTGCTAAAAAAGTCTTCATGTTAAAAATATTAGCAAAGACCCGCCATATTTTATATTTTATAAAACACACTGCCCCGTATATCATATTTAATTGTTGACTTAGATGAAATGACAAAATTAGCCTCATTACTAATAAAACAACCCAAAAAATAAAAAAAATGAAAAATAAAATTCAACAAGAAAAGTAAAAAAAAAAAAAAGGAAATAAAACCCAAACAACTACTTGTCTACTATAAAGGTGTGTCTCCCGCCGCACATGTCGGAGAGCCACCCTCTACAACAATTGAAATCGTCCTCTCCACCATTAAAGGAATCCACCTTTGAGTAGTGGGCTTCCGGCGTATGTTTCCAATCAATCCAAATAATTAAAGGTGGATACCGCAAGCTTGCGTGCTTCATTACCTAATTATATGATTATATCCTTATAATTATATGATTATATCCTTATAATTTGTAGTTTTAATAACCCAAACAAAACTAATTATCGTATGTACTATACTATATACACAAAGCTTCTTTCATAATGATTTAGACAAGGTTTGGAATACACTTTTTGTTAGATTGGAAAAAATGGGATAGGTTTTGGGTTTATTTGGAGAGAGTGTTTTTTTTGAAAATGTCAAAGATTAAATTAAAAACTCCAAAAACTTTATTTTGGGCTTGTGAAAAGTTTGGGGTAAATTTATAGTTTTCCAAATTTGTGATTTAAAGGGTATTTGTGGCTTTTCACGTCCAAAAACACATGCACAGTCGCACAAACCACGAGTGATGTATTACACATCGAGCTCGCAAGGTCCTTTTTGCCCTTGACTAACTTTCAGAGGAGGTTATGTGCTAATTGTTTTAACATGAGAGGTTTTTTAGCAATTCAAGATTACACAGAGGTGGATTTTGCAAAAAACCCTGTACATTTCCAATATTTTTTTTAATTCGTGATGAAATTTTTTGTGAATAGTTTATAAAATAAAAAGATAATCATTGAAGGAATATAATTAATTGGTCCATGTTATTCTTTCGTCGTCAATATAAAAGAACAATAATTGATTTTACATGACAAAAGAAGCTCGGATGAATTGGATAAGTATAATGAGAAATTAGATGCTACACTTGATTATTTATATTTAATGGATTTGTACCATAAATCAACATATAATCACACACACTTATACACACCTATGTAGTTATTAAATCTAATACGCGGTTCAAATTCACATAATAGTTATTAAAATTACTACTTTTTTTTTTTTCAATTTTGAAATGTTATTCGGAGAGAGTTAATACTATAATGATCACTAAAATAGTTTCCAAGCTCTTCCACCTCTCACATTGAATTTCTTCAACCTTCCAAATAACATTACCACCATCAGCACAAATTTCCCTCCATTACTCCATTTTCCCGCCAAACCATACCATGCATCTCTGCACTTTCCATCCGAATTTATTCGTCTTTCGCAACTGTAACCAATCGAAAACCCCACATTCCCATACGCGCTGCCGTTTCATATTAACACATTCAAATTCATCACAAATTAAAATAAAAAAAATTGGTTAATTATTTATCAAGTTTACCTAATGACTTCAAAAACAATGGCGAAGACGCTGAAGTTGAGAGGGTCCGTTTTCATGCTTTCTGCTTCGGTTATGCAAACGAGAATCACGAATATCGTGATATAACCGAGCTGTGTGAACAATATTTGCTCCCAAAAATCACCCCTTCTTTTTTTCTTCTGAATGCCATTTTCCACATATATTATTGGCACAAATGAAGTATATGCTGGAAGGTACCTGCACTATGCAAATCTGTTTAAAATATGAGAGAGAGAGAGAGAGAGAGAGAGAGAGAGAGAGAGAGAGAGAGACTTACATCATAAGTAGAAACAAAACCAAGACAGCCGGAGAAACAGCTGAAAGATCGAAAACAGATTCCCCGGCGTGCCTGGAACTCACGACCTGGAACAAAGATCCCACCGCCTTTTCGTAGCCACTCATACCATCGACAACGGCTTCAGAATTCCATTCCAGGGTGCAAAACAATATTAACTGCACTGATAAAAACCCTAAAGCTGTAATCCCCAGGTAAACTGAATCCATCGTGTTTCCAGGGATCAGGTGCCTGTACCCCAATTCCCTGGAATTCTTTAACATGTACCTGAATTCTTCTTTTCCAGTGATTTTCTCCAGGGCTAGTATCGTAAAACGGAGGCACAACGGATACAAAGTGTTCCCCATTAAAATCAGAAGGATTAAAATTAGTTGGAGACCTGAGTTTGTCCTGAAAGCCATCATGTTTTCGTTCGTCGGTAGAAAACCGCAGTTTGCAAAAGTCGAAACTGCGGTGAATATAGTAAAAATTTGCTGGTTGAGGCCTTTCTTCTTTAAAACGTTTCTTGCACTTGGGACTAGGTTTAAGTAGACAGAGATTAAGGTTGCACCTGCCACGTGGACCAATAAAAGATAACAACCGACTAAAACTGCCAACGTTTGAATAGATTTGAACTTCAACAAACCCTCTTCTTCTTCAGCTTCCCCGCTGATTACAATTCCAAGCTGATCAGTTCTTCGATTACTATTATTGGAGTAATACTTAAAAGTCGAAGAATCGGATTTTGCAGATTTCGAAAAATGAAGTTCGAGAATCGAGGTGAAAACTTCTCCGGTGACGAAAGTGATAACGGTTAAAACGAAGAGTTGGATGTTCGAGAAAACCTCCATTTCGAGTGTGGACATGCTCGATGCGGTGGCGGCTGATAGGGAAGTGAAGAAAAGATCGATGTTTTTAGGGAGATGATGACTTGGTAATAGTACACTTGGCTTGGAAAACTTCAAAGCCAAGAAACCGATGAAAGAGAGTGTAGTGAAATAGCAAAGTTCGGACCAAAATTGGTTCATCGGAAAAACGACGAAGATCATCGACATTAGCCCCCGAAAGGAGTGGTGCAACAATGTCCGAAAATAGCGGTAGCCATGCTTCGCTTTCTCGATAAAATCGGACAATTTTTCCATGTTTTTTTTTTTAATTTAGTAGTACGGGCCGAGATCTTAATTAATTAACAGGGCCGGGCTTGCAGTTAAATAGGGCATTTGTCACAAGTTGGATGCATAGAGAGAGTATCTTCACATGGCTGGCAAATGCTTGGGCATCTGGTTCCGAAATCCAGGAATAAATGGAAGCAAGTATAACAAGGTGTCCTGTAGCTAGAATAATCTGTTTATTCCCACACATTCAACGCGGCCGAAATCGGAATGGAATAAAATCTTTCGATTATTAGTCCACAAAGTCCGATGGGACCAGTTCGATAACATTGGGCCGAATACTCTCGTATCCAAAATTATTGGGGCAAGGCCCAATGAGCGAGGAAAATTAAAGTATGCCGGCAATGGATAGTAAATACGGACATGTGTTAAAGAGTTCGCTATAAAACGGCTCAAGAGATAAGGAGGTCGCCAACAAACAACTTGCGGGTAAAGCCCATTAACGTTCGTTATATCGCATTAAATTATATATGTTTTTAGTTAGACATGGCTGCAATCTTGGAGCCAAATTACCAAAACATAATGAACCGTAACCGAGTCGGAGATTGGTGGTTCCGAAGCGGTTCCTCAACTGACAGTTTCGAGTTATATATTTTCCTAGACAAAAAAATGGCAACAAATTAGTGGAATTTTTCGTCTACAAAAATTGGAACGAGATTTTTATTATAATTTTCCAAATTAATGTTAACAATTTTTTTTTGATTTTTATTAGGAACGTAATTGGAATTAGTTTTTCATTTCTGAAAAAAAAATCGATGTCTTTTCAACAGTGTTAATCTCAATCTGATCCGTCTGAATTTCATGGGTTGAACCGGCTTATGGGCGGGTCAAGTTTTGGGCTTAATAGCACACCATATAGTCCACACCAACTTACAAGCCCAAGAACATCAAGAATGGCTTTAGAAGTTAGAACGTGATAATTGAAAATTCCATGCAATTAAAATATAATTTCATTGCATCATAATTAAATTCTATCATAAATATAGTGATTAACTTAATTTCAAAATTTCCCATTAACAGAAAACTAGATAGTGAATTAAATGTTCATTATCTAAATTCTAATATGTAATTTCGTATTAATTCAACTATATCCATTGACCAATCTCAAATGGTAGGGGTATTAGAGGAAATATTCACTACAAGGACAATATAGTCATTTAACACATGAGCGCATTTGCAATTAAATTAATTGTTATTGTTCTTCTACACAGAACAGTCTCCATCTTCACTCCTCTCTCTCCTCTCTCTCTCTCTCTAAAGAAGAAGAAGAAGAACAAAAATGGCTTCAGCCATGAAGAAAGTGAACATGATCACCAAAATCGTACGGCTGAAGCAAGTCGCCAAGCGCTGGAAAACCAGCAGCTTAGGCCGCCGCTCCATACTCTGTTACTCCGCCTCCTCCTCCGACGCCGACGACCCCGCCGCTTCAGGCCGCCTCACCCCCTCCGGCTCCGTCGCCGTCTACGTCGGACCTGAGCGCCGCCGGTTCGTCATTCCGACGAGGTTTCTGAATCTACCAGTCTTCGTCGACCTCCTCAACCAGGCGGAAGAGGAGTTCGGGTACCAGACCACCGGCGGCCTAGCTCTGCCGTGCTGCACCGATTTCTTCGAGGAAATCCTCCGATTTCTCGACGAGGACGAAGAGAGGTTCCGCGGCCTGGGAGTGGAGGAGTTCTCGAAGATGGCTTCTGAAATGGATTTGGAGAATTCCGATCCGTCGTCCTGTACAGAATCTTCGTCGGCGGCGGCGTCCTCCTCCTCCTCCCATCCTTTCACACCATTGCTGCAAAAAGCTAGGGTTTGAACCTTTCTAACAATGGCGGAATTTATTTTTTTTAATGATTTTTAATTTTTAGCTTTTTAGGGATTTGGACTGAGCAATGTTGGTCCAATAACCATCCTTGAGACCAGAGTTTTTAATGGCTGTTACCTGGTTAACTCAATGAGATGTTTGATTTTTCATTTCTAGGGCTTACGAATTCCCAATTTTTTGTTTGGGTTTCGTTACGATGAAGATGATCCATTCATGCTTCTGGAATATTTTCCTCTTCCCCCATTAAATAAAATGTTTAATTTCTTTTTTATTTTTATTATTATTTTATTTACCAGGAACCTTTGTTCTTCAATTGATTTTTGTTTACCAACTGAAATTGGATTCTTCTGTCAAAGATTTACATGTGCGATTTTACAGAGACTGATAAAATTTGTTTGTTATTTTAATCTTAATTAGATTCGTAATTGTCTTCTAATTATAAACGACTCCGTAATATTAGCATTTCTTTTAACAATATATTATTATAATAAACATGATTTGCATATTCTAATAGATCCAAAAGATCCAACTAGTCCGTGGATCTTGACCCGTGAAACTCTCTAATAGATATGACATCTCATCCTCACAACAATATAATTTTGTATTTCTATTTTATTCTATACAAAATAATTAAATTTTTTAGAAGAAAAAACTCAAATTTCACCTTTTCTATTAGAATTATCTCAATATTATTTAATGTCATGCTATTATTTTATAATCTCATATATACTTCTTATCCAAAATTTCTTTTTGGATAATTCTTTTAGTTTCATATAATCAATTAATTTATTTTCCCAATTTTACACTTATTAATCCGAAATTGTGTCAAACATTAATTCACGTCAAATACTACCTACCCTATAAGAGACTTCAAAACTTCCTCTTAAACAATTTTTAAGATATACAAAAAGACAATGTATGTATAAATAAATAAGTGCCATATGTACTACAAATATTAAGCCGGCGCTAGGTTTCAAATAATTAATGACAATTAAGGCTAATTAATCAGCTTCTTTAAATAACATAAAAAGTTACATTAAATAATACCAAACGCACACTTAATTGCTTGTGAGTTGTGATTCCCATGCGCAACATGATGACTACTAATTTGACTCTTAACAGGGGCATTTTCGTCATATTATTTCAGATTTAATAAATTACACATTGAGCGAATGAGCAGCACGCGAGCGCGCGTGGGGCGGAGGTTTAGCAGGAAGAGGCAGAAAGTGAAAGGACGTTGTAGTGTTTATGGGACAGAGATATACGGAAACACAAAATCCGGACGACAACACATTTTTTCATACTTCACTTTTTTGACTCTCTTTTATTTATTTATTATTTATTTATTATCCCTGATTCCCCCTTCATCATCGTACACCCCAACTGTCAACCAACCCACAATATTATTTAAATAAAATTTTTATTAATTTACTTTTATAATAAATATGTATTTAATTTAGTGTGGAGAAATAGAAACGAATGTTTTCTAATCTTGTCTTTGACCGGATTAATTATAATAAGTATGCATATTTTTTTTGTAATTAGAGTCTAGGAGGTTTCTAATTTTTATGTTTTTCAAACATACAAAAATAATTATAATAAAAGATAATTATAATAATTACGTCACTGATATATTACTGTGATGTTATAATTAAGCTACAGCCCACAAATAAAAGCCCAAATAATAAAGTTTAAAAAAAGCCCACACTGGAAAAGCTACAAAATCCCATAATTCACATTGGGCCTATCTATAAAAATTGGCCCACAAACCTACGCAGTAAAGCCTTTTGTTTATTCTTTATTCTTTATTTTTTTTATTATATGTATTTATTTATTTTGAAACTACAAGTAAATACAAATACATAACTTAAGTCCTGATTAAGTAATTCTGTATTTTCGGGGGGCCTATTAGAAATTAGTCTCTCTCTCTCTCTCTCTCCCGGGTTCTGGAGACATCTGGAAAGACAACGGAAGAATATACATACACACACTATACGGTGCCCTTTTTAAAGTAACTTCCACACAGCTCTCTATCTATATTATTCTCTCTCTCTCTCTCTACCACCACCTAACAGAATTTTCGCTGATTTTTTCTCTCACTTGAAGAAGAACGCAGTTCATTAGGGCTTTCGTGGTTTTGATTTCCCCCCTCTTAACCTGATTTTTTCTAGGGTTCTCGGGGTGTATTTGAGAATCAGGAGCTATGGAGAGCTATTTGCCGTTGAAATTGAAAAGGAAAGACCTAGAAGATGTCAACGATGATTTCTCCGACTTTTCCCTCTCTTCTCCCGCCAGAAAAATCCGACGTCTGGTACGATTTTTTGCTGTTTTTCTCACTTTTATGCTTTCCTATGTTGACCGTACTACCAATTGGATTTCTGAGTTATCTGTATCTATTGTTTTCAGCTTTTGCGTTAGGTTAGAATTGTATGGTATGATTAGGTTAAGTGTGATTCTGAGTGAATTTTTCATTTCATGAATTTAGGATGCTGAATTGCCGCCTATAATAGAGGAAGAAGAATCTGAGGTTCCTATCTCGTTGGATTACTCCATGCCACATGAACAGAGCTTCGGTTTCCGTAATTCATCGAGCGGTGTTAAGATTGAAGAATTACCGAGCAATGATGAAAGGGCGATTGTGTTGTTTAAACCAAACAGCCCCAATCCACTCCTGCATTATCCTTCCAATTTCTCAGTGTCCGTCAATCCTAATTTCATCTCTGTGTTCAACAGTAAGTATTCCTTGTGTTTTTCGGTTTTAATTTGATCCATCGTGTGCTTTGTAATTCATATTTTACTGTTGTGCTTGCATAGCTGCATCCGATCGTATTTGTTGAGTAGCCGATTCTGCTTGTGACTAGTGGATGATGGATGAGTTTTGATTATATGTTGAAAATTCTGGTAATTCATTTGGATAGAAGGGAGTTGGATGGAAGTATTTAGATTCGATGGGAGGATTGGGATTTTGTATATTATTGGAAAGACAATCAAATCGAGAGATATGGATTTGAAGCTCATTAGAGAATAAATTAATTCAAACAAGCTCGATTGATTAGCTATGGATTTGGATTCGTTAGGGTTGTCCGAGCATTATACTTTGTTTCTTTGGCCTTTTCTTGTTAGCAACAAATCGTCAATCTTTGCTATGATAATTTCTTGTCCTTTGCTAGAACCGAGAAGAAGTTCCGAAATTAATTAGCCAATTTGTGTATGTTTATGCAGATCAAGTCCTGCAGTCTGGTCCATCAAACTCTTGGAAACTAGTTGATGTCGAGGAGGCGGAGGATAACAACTCCAGTTCTGGTGACAGGTGTCTAGCTGTTGTTCCGTGGGTCCCATCACAGCTCTCTTCCTCACAAGGAACCGTCTCGCCTTCTCAAATCGATAACTCTGAGTGTGAGATGATGGACGTTCAAGACATGGAAGAAACGACAATGGAGGTGGAAGATGCGACTGGTATTGACCAAAGGAATGCTAATGGAGGCGGTGGGATGAGTATAAACGAAGGCTTCCATCAATGGCAGCAGCACTGCTTTGTTCCACACCCTCCCCAAAACACTACCGCACCAATTGTTTGGTACCCATAATGGCTTAATTTACCGTCTCGGGGTATTGTAATTAGTGCGTAGTTAGAATTTTGTGTTAGTTGCTGCCGTTTCGAACTGTGTTCGATAGGTTTTACTGTTGAGGGAGTTTGTCTGTAAGGGCGAAACGGCTTATCCTAGCAATTCAAGTTTAGCATCGTGTAAGCAGCGTTTGTGGATCCGATCGATCGCCTTTCTCTGTGGCCACTGGCCGGAGTAAATGATTGTCCTAATCTTCCGACTTGAGACTCCTTGAAATTTTGTGAGCAAAGGACTAGATTCATGAAAGTAGTAAATTCAGTTTGCTGCTTCGAACAAAAAATGAATATCAAACATTAGCATAAGCAAACTTAATTACAATTAATTAAGGCCTCATTATTTAATTAATTCTGACTAACCTTACTAATCGGAGACTTTAAATGAGAATCCATAATTGAAGTATTTTTTTTGTCCCCAGGTGAGCTTGCAGATATTATTTTGTGAGTTATTAGCTTAATTTTTCCATAAGATCAGTTAAATACATTCAAACGGGCACATAATTGAAACAGCGAAAGTTTGAGATCCTAAACCGGAGATCTATATAAATAACTACTGACCAAGTACACAACATACACGTGGGTGTATGTGTGTATATCAAAACACATCGTGTATATCAAATGTTAATAAATAATAAAAATATAACGAATTTAATTATTCTTTGACATCCACTAATAGAAAGTTAACATGTGTCATGGACCATTTCCCATAGTTTCTCCCAGCCCATAACTAATATATTTGGGCCTAATTCCTTAATAAAATTTGGGCCCAGTTGTTCAGGCCCAACTTCTGTTAACTTAATTCCAGCCCAACCTTTCTCTAACTCAACTGCACAGCCCGAAACGGTGTCGTTTCAGGTACCTTTGTTTTTCTTCTTCCTTTTTCGTTGTACCGCCACGCTCCGCTATCTGCTTCCGCACCTTCGCGTGTAGCCTAATCAATTTTTGGTATTGGATTGAGGTGATCAATTAATTTAGGTTTTAATATGGCGTTGAGGTCGATTTGTCGCAGCCTGAGGAAGAATAAATCTATTTTGCCGATGTGTAATCCGTGCTCGCATTTGCACTCCCACTCTACTAGTTTCGGTTGGTACTCATTTTTCCTAAATCGCTGTTTTGTGTAATTTCTGATATACGTTGTGGCGTTTTTAATTCTGTATGATTGTGTTTTTTCAGTTAGTTAGATTCTCATCTCAGGTTACAAATCATTTTATTTTCTCTCTACAGGATTTAAGGAAGTAAGGGAGGATGAAAAAAGTCGAATGGTTGGTAATGTGTTCACGAGCGTCGCATCAAGTTACGATCTCATGAATGACTTGATGAGTGGTGGTCTTCATAGATTATGGAAAGAAAGGTTGATTTTATTTTTTTGCTTTCTCTCTTTCATTGTTGGATTTTTAGCTGATTTATTTTGTTTCCAAGTTAATTTTGGTATCTTCTGTTGTAGATTGATTTCCAAGTTGAATCCGTTTCCGGGGATTAAGCATCTTGATGTGGCTGGTGGAACAGGTGATCTTTTAGTGTGGTGGTATCTTGTTTGATGATTAGAATATTGCTAGCATGAAGATAATGTCAAAGTGTTCACTGTATATAAGAACGAGATCGAGTTTTCTATCTAGAATTCTGATCAACTAGTTGCTTAATAGAAAAGTCCCGTGTTGCTGCTAAATATGGTTTACATTTTTTTTGGAAACTATTTCAGTTTCTTTAAGGCCCTATGAGAGGAACTGTAAAAGTCATGAGCTACATTCTTGAGACTTCTTTTCCGAGATTGAACGAGTTATGAATGAACCACAAAAGGATAAAATGCTAACTATATGCATATCCTCAAATGAAATTCTAAAGCGAATTTATATTGCAAGTTGCTTGTCATTCTTGTTCTGGATGGAATATGCATCTGATATGGAGCAAGTTGATCTTAACGTTTAATATCCGACTTTTTTGTTGAGAAATAATATTATCCACTCTTGTCGGGCTTTGTCTTAGCGAAGATAAAACTAGTTTCTTGTTTAAATTCTCTTTTGACCATGAACTCTGTTTAGTTGTCTTATTATTTACTTGGATAAAGAGCCTCTCTTATTTTACAGGGGATGTGGCTTTCAGAATCCTGGAAAATATAAATAACGTTGGAAGTAGAGCCATGAGAGATAATCGTGATGATAGTATACCGGAAGAAACCCAGATTTACGTATGTGATATTAACCCACACATGTTAAATGTTGGCAAAAAGAGGGCCCAGGAGAGAGGTAAGTCATATTCGATTTTCTATACTCCAGTTTTAGAAAAATTTAACAGGCTAATATTTCTCCAAATGTAAAGCATGTTTATTTTTAAATGCATTCAGGGCTCGGAGAGGATAAGTCTCTCATATGGGTTGAAGGAGATGCAGAAGCATTAAAGTTTGAAGATAACTCGATGGATGGTTACACAATTGCATTTGGAATAAGGAATGTTACGCATATAGAAAAAGCTCTTGCTGAAGCTAACAGGTTAGCTTGTGATTCATCTCTGCTGAATTTTTTTGCTTCATAATTTTGTACTCAGACCCTTGTTGCGACTAAATATACTGCGTTTCGTTTCTAAATTGTGTTGACTATTTGTTCATTTATATCCGATTTTTTTGGGGTTGGAAGATTGAGTCCGCCTGGTCTTATTTGCCAATTACATATGTTGTTCGTATCTCCTTAATTTGTTTGAGAATAAATAGAATAATGTTATTAGTGTATTCTTTTAATTACTCACATGCATGGAATGCTACGGACATAACATCCCGGCCAAGACTCATTTTCGACGGAAACATGTATTAGTTATTATATGTAATTTTCCAGTTTAATTTGGTGTTTTACGATCCCCCCTCCCTTTTGCTTGTCTAAACGACCCATTTCAGTTTTCTAACTTATCGTTGTTTCTTTTTGGAAGGGTACTCAAACGAGGAGGAAGATTTCTTTGCCTTGAATTAAGCCATGTGGAACTTCCTGTTTTGAAAGAGTTGTAAGTATTAGAAATGTTACATTAGATGAAAGAGTTGTATGCACTATTGCGTATATCATTTTTTATCTTAGCAACTAATTCTGAGATGTGCCAAGCTGCAAATTGTTTTCCTTAAGAACATATTCCACATTGTCAATTCAATTAGTTGACCAATTTACTCGCACATATGAAGAAATCGTAAATTAACAACACTATATATAGGTAGAGTTGTTATACTGACCTTTTTTAATTGTTCCATGCCTCGAAATATTTATTATTTGATATATATGTTTTCTTTTTTTGTTAATTCAGGTATGATTATTACTCGTTTTCAGTCATTCCATCATTGGGAGAGCTAGTTGCAGGTGATCGTGAATCTTATCAGTATCTGGTTGAGAGCATTCGACGTTTTCCCCCACAGGTATATTTCACCTTGACCATGATTCATTGGAGGTTTACTTATACTTCTTGAATGGGGGTTTTAGCAGATAATATCAATAAACAGAGATTTTAAGCAATTCATTTCTTTTACCATCGTGCAGAGCAGTTGTTTATTGATTAAACCTTTATGTTTTGATGATGTTATTATCCGAAACTGCAGGATAAATTTGCGAAAATGATTGCAGAGGCTGGGTTTCAGAAGGTTGAGTATGAAAACCTCGTCGGAGGAGTTGTTGCTATCCATTCTGGCCTCAAGTTGTAGGATTACTCTCTCTCTTAAATGACTAGTGTTGTTTGTTAGAAACTTCAGTAGAAACTGTAATAAGTGTCGGTTTAATGAGCTGCTTCTTGTTGGTGGTGTTTCCGTCAATGGGAACCATGTATTCTTTCTCTATAGCAAACAGTGGTGTAATTGTTTTTTATTTATTTTTTGGAAACAACTGTGGTATATTTCAGTATACAGAAACAAAGCAATATGAAATAGGTGTCTTTTACCAACCCTCGTTAGGAGAGTTGGTACCTAGCCTTTACCAATAGGGTAACGGTCTAGGGTTCGAGTCCCCCCTCCCCTACTTTCCCTTGTAATTGACTTGAATTTTCTCAAAAAAAAAAAAATAGGTGTCTTTTATTAAAAAAAAAGTCGATATTTTTTTTTTAAATTAAGAAACCAAAAAAATAAAATAAAAATGCCATGAGAATTTACTAAGGAGCAGGCTCGCCCCAATTATAGCAGAGCCCTACTTTACAATTAAATAATTAGGGCCTCAAAAGTTTATAGGCCCAAATCTATTTTAAGTATAATTTTGGCCCAAATATTCCACAAAGCCGTAATTTAACAATAGTTTTCATTAATTCTATACTTAATAAAAATGTAAATCTATATTTAATAAAATTTTCTCTCCAAGAAAAGCTTATCGTAGTTGGAAACGATTTTTTATTTTATTTTTTTTTATTAAAAAAATACGAAAAATTGAATAAAGTCCCGGTTTATCCGATTTGAAATTTGGACAAAGGTCAAAGATTGGGCGGGTGGTGGTGGACTAGTGGGTAGGTCCGGGTCAAGATTCCGGATCCCCATTAAGAAATTGAGACCCAATTCAAATTTCAACAAATCTAGTCCAGTAGCGCGTGAAACCCACGGGACGGCTACATAAAAGAAGAAAAAAACAGAAAAATAAAAAAAGGTCTTCTCAAATCAAAATCGAAGGTTTAGTTAGGGTTTTACTAAAACATTATTCAGTTATTTTCTACCACCACCTCTCACGACCGTTTAGGTGGCGGTTCCCCAATTCCGGTTCGAATTAAGATCGCCGGGACTTTTAAAACTCATTGCCGCCAATCAGACCCGCCGCAATCCACGATGAGAACCCTAAAACGGCACAGTTTGCGGAAGAACCAGAGTGATAACGTGCTTTCTCGGAGTCTCGCCCCTCCATCAAAGCTGAGGAAAACCGAGAGAGGCGGTATGTGGACACAGTCATTACGTATTGCGTTTAAGTTAAAGCTTTCTATGTATTTATCGTTGTAATCTGGTGGTGTAGGGTTTAAGAAACCGGCTAAAGCAAGCAAAGCCGCAGAAAATCGTCGCCCGGTACATGACGAGAAGGCTGTTAACGACTCGGGCAAGTTGATTAAATATGGAAATTTCAAGTACTGTGGAACTGAAAATTAATATTATTTTATGAACAATGCAGAGGACTATGAGGAGGGGCAGACGGATGGAGATTCCGAGCCGGAAGAAGTAGAAGTTGCATATAAAGAGCCTACGGTGTACGAGGATTTGTTGAAGAAACTGGGGACCCGGAATGAAAATGTTGCAGAGGCTCTGAGGAGAAGGTAAATTCTATTAATTCTCTTATGCTGTTTTTTCAAGGCTTTGTTTGTTTCGGTCATGAACAATGTGGATTGAATTGGTTGGGATGAATTATGAGTGATGTAATGTGGGATTTTCATCTCCAGACCTTTAGATTTGAATATATGTTGTAATTTCATGAACCGGAAATCTTTGTACGTCCTAAACATTGTTAGGCTAAGAGAAGGCTTGTGGATGTTGTTTCGAAATTATATCGTGGATATTTGAGTTGTCCAATTCAATGAGTTGAGTTGTATAAACATGGTCTATATATTTATATTATTGAACTTGATGGTATAAATGTTCCTAGGTGTGACAAGCAATAAAGAATTACATAAAACGTGTTCAGGTAGCAGAACATTTGAAGTGCTATTTTTGTTTTTTGTTCTTCATTTTGGATGCTCTAGTCGTATGTTTTATGATGATTATATTCTGAGCAGGCAAAGAGAAGAACAAGGGGAAGGGGGCACAGATGATGATACAGACAGCAATATGGAATCTATTAGCGAGTCTGAGGAAGATGATGACGATGACGATGACGGTAACAACTGTTTGTTCATACCTTAACTATTCTAGAAGGAGAGATAATCTCTTTTTCCTTTCACTAAAGTCCTGACAAGACTGCTGAAACTGAATTTAAATTTACTTGAGCTGCTCTTCGATCTTTCATATACTTCTAAATCCTTGTTGAAGATAATAATAACTTTTATTGTTATAATCTTGATTGTTTTTGTCCAAATTTAGGAAATGATAACACGTCTCCTAGGATTTATGCAGTTGGAAATGGCGTAAAACATGGTGAGAACAAAATGAAGATTCAAGAGA